TTTATTAAAGAGGCTATCTTTCCTTCCCTGAGGATGGTTGGCTCCTTTGTCAAAGATGAGGTAGCTGAGTACATTGTTTCTGTATCTTCTGCTTTGTGTTTGTTTGTTTGGTTGGTTTTTTGACACAGGGTCTCACTATGTAGTTGAGAATGACCTGAAATTCACTATGTAGCCCAAGCTGGTCTTGAACTCACAGCAATCCTCCTGCCTCAGCCTCCCAAGTGCTTGGATTACAGGCATGTATCACCATACCTGGCTTTGTCTCTGTATCTTCCAATCTATTCCACTGATCTTCAGGTCTTTTTCTTCACCAGTGCCATGCTGTTTTTATCACAATGGCTTTGTAGTATTATGGAGAGCATTGACCTGTGATTCACCCGAGCAGTGTGGACATGCCATCACCCATAGCAATGGGCTAGTTCAGCTGGTGGTCTGATCTATTGCCTAGCAGCTGTAACCCATAATAGTTGTTATTGTTTCCTTCTGGAATGTGTGGGCGGTACTCTCGCTCCCGTGCAGCTGGAGAGTATAAAAGGAAAAGGTTCTGTAATAAAGCAAGCAAGTAACATGAGAAGAAAAGTGCCTCCCGTCTCTCTGTCCTCGTCCTTTCAGGTTTAGGACCTGCTGGCAGGATCCTGACGTAGCAGCTCACGACATAGTATAGTTTCAGGTTGGGGATTGTGATACACCCTGTCATGTCTCTGTTGCCTAGAATTGCTTTTGCTGTTCTTTGTCTCTTCTGGTTCCAAATGAATTTTTGGATTGTTTTCTTTAGTTTTGTAAAATATACTGTCGGGATTTCAATTGGAATTGCATTGAATCTGTATAGCCATTTTGGCAGTATGGCCATTTTCACTATGTTGATTCTGTCTTTCCATTTTCTTATATCTTCTTCCTTCTCTTTTTTTTTAGAGTGCTATAGTTTTCAGTGTAGAGGTTTTATGCTTCTTTTGTCTGATTGAATCCTAGATACTTCATTTTTTTGGATGCTATTATGAAGGAATTGTTTCCCTAATTTCTCTCTCCATGAGTCTGTTATTTGTGTACAAAAAAGCTATTGGTTTGTGATTATTGACCTTGTATCCAGCTGCTCTACTGAATCTGTCAAGTAAGTCTAGAAGTCTTTTGACAGAGATTTTGGTCTTCTATGTAGAGTATCATGTTATCAGCAAATAATGACAATTTAATTTCCTTTCCTATCTTTATTGCTTTAATTTCTTTCTCTTGTCTAATTGTTGTGTCTAATGTTTCCAGAACTATATTGAACAAAAGTGGTGATAGTGGACATCCTTGTCTTGTTCCTAATTTTAGAGTGAAGGTTTTTCAGTTTTTTACCATTTATTATGATGTTGGCTGTTGGTTTTTCATAGATAGCCTTTATCAAGTTGAGATAAAGACCATCTATTCCAATTTTCTGCAGAGTTTTTAATCAAGAATGGGTGTTGAATTTTGTCAAATGCTTTTTCTGCATCTATTGAGAGGATCATATGGTTTTTGTCCTTGGCTCTGTTAATATAGTGTATTACATTTATTGATTTACATATGTTTAACCATCCTTGTATCCCTGGGATAAATCCAACTTGATTAGGGTGTATAATCTTCTTGATGACCCTCTGTATTCTGTTTGCTAGTATCTTATTAAGGATTTTTGCATCTATGTTCATTAGGAAGATTGGCCTGTAGTTCTCTTTTTTAGTTGGGTCTTTCCCTGGTTTTGGAATCAAAGTAACACTTGCTTCCAGGAATGAATTTGGAAGTATTGCTTCCCTATCAATTTGAAAGTTTAAGGAGTAGTGGCAGTAGTTCTTCTCTACATGTCTTGTAGAATTTAGCAGTGAAGCCATTAGGACCTGCGTTTTTCTTCATTGCTAAACTTTTAATTATGTTTTCAATTTCACTGTTTGTAATTGGAGTGTTTAGAGTTTTTTTCTCTTCATTCAACTTTGGTAATTCATAAGAATCAAGTCATGTAAAGGTACAAGATCCCAATGATGAATGTAACTGTACTCTATGCCTAAAATGTACCATTAAATTCAAGGAGAGAGAAAAAAAGAGAAATTTGTTCATTTCTTCTGTGTTTTCCATTTGATTAGTGTATAGGTTCTCAAACTAATTATTGATAGTCCTCTGGATTTCTGCTGGATCTGTTGTTACTTCATCTTTTTCTTTCCTAATTGCATGCATATGAGCCTTTTCTTTCCTTTTTTGTTAAAGATTGGCTAAAGGTTTATCAATTTTATTTATTCTTTTAAAAAAATCAACTCTGTTTTACTGATTTTTTGTATCATTTTCTTAGTCTCCATTGCATCTATTTCTGCTCTGATCTTTATAATTTACTCCCTTGTATGAGCTTTGGGTTTTTCTTGCTCTTCTTTTTATAAGGAGCCTAACATTCATCATTAGATTATTTGAGCTTGCTCTGTTTTCCCACTGTGTGCATTCACTGCTATGAATTTTTCACATAGAACTGCTTTCATTGTGTCCCATATGTTGTATTGACATTATCATTAATTTGTAAAAATTGTCTAATTTCTTTTTTAATTTCCTCTGTGACCCATTGATTGCTCAGGAGAGTATTGTTCAATTTCCATGTGTCTGGGAAGTTCTTGTGGTTTCTTATGCTATTGATCTCCAGTTTAAATGCACTATGATCTGCTAATATATGTGGGATAACTTTGATTCCTTTGCATTTATTTAAACATGCTTTTTGAGCTAGTGTGTGGTCTATTTTGGAGAATGACCCATGTGCAGACAAAAAGAATGTGTATTCTGATTTTGTGGGGTTGACCACTCTGTAGATGTCTATTAAATCCATTTGTTCAAAAGCTTGGTTCAGTTCTAGTATTTAATTGTTGATGTTTTTTGTCTAGATAATCTGCCTATTTGTGATAGTGGGGTATTGAGGTCCCCCACTACAATTGTTAGGCTTATTTGTTTTTTTGTGTCCATTATTATTTGTTTTATAAACTTATGAGCATTAATATTATATATATATATGTATGTATGTATATGTATTTATGATTGTCATCTCTTCCTCTTGTATTGTTCCCTTTACAAGGATGTAGTGGCCTTCTTTGTCTCAATCAGTTTTGTTTTGAAATTTACTTTGTCTGCAAATAAGATAACTACCCCTGCTTTTTTCTATCACATGGAGAACTGTTTGCCATCCTTTCACTTTCAGTCTCTTGAGTTTCTTTTTGAACTAGATGTGCTTCTTGTATACAATATATTGTTGGATTTTGCTTCTTAATCCATTCTGCCAGTCTATTTCTCTTGATTGGTGAATTGAGGCCATTGACTTTGATGGTTATAACTGATATGTGTTGACTTATCATTGTCATGTTATTGTCCTGTTGTTGGCTCTTTTTAATTTTTCTCCCCTCTCCCTTTAGTTTCTTGCCTTGCCTACTTGATTTGCTCTATTCGGCCTCATGTTGTTGTGACCTTCATTGTCTTTTTCTAGGATATTGTTTAGAATTATTTGTAGTGCTGGCTGTTTCTAATTTTTAAGAAAAAACAAAGAAAAAATCTTTCCTTCATTTTATATTACATGTATGTATTTGGATACTACTAATCAAAGGCTACAAATATAGATTGAACTGCAGATACATTTTGTAAGATATAAAATCACATCATTATTATAAATACAACTTTAGTTACTCTCATTTTTCCCATCTCATTAATTCTTCTCCATTTGCCTGTTTTTAAAGAAAAATAAGAAGGGAACTTTTTCCACAATCCCCAACCACAACTATAGAAAAAGGCTAAGTAGTGTGGTCTCTGTCTTTTCAAAAAAAGAGTTAAATTGAAAGTCACTTTACATTCTTGCACTTAATTTTCCAATTCAGTTGGGAATAAAAAATAGATTTAATATTTAATGCCAGATCTTAATGACTGATAGCAGCTGACTTGATCTGTATTGAGAGAGAAGGGATGCTTTTCTGATCAGATTAATAATCAACTGCTCTTGTCCATGGACAAAGAAGCAAGAAGTATAAAGGTGTTTTGCTATTGACAAGTCACCCTACTTGATTCAAGGTATATTATAATATATAGAACAAAATGCTGTTCTTAATACTAGTGGAAAATAGTTCTATCACTCATGATGACTTTAAGATTAATTAGAGTATATTAATTAGTCTAGTTCATATAAATAGAAATCAGCTCCAGGTACTTTGGGCAGGCAGGAATTTAATGCAAGAATTTAATAAAGCTGTTGGAAAAGCTAAAGGAGAGAAGACCAAGGAAAATTATTTCCTAATGTCAGTTTGTTGTGACTTTCAGAGAGTGATGAAGTCACATGAACTTATGAGAAATGCTCCTGGGGATGATAGCAGCCTACTCCCCTGAGGCAGGTGACACTGAGGTCCAGAGGAGATGAGCCATTCATTTGGAATCACCCACTTGCCAGGCGTAGAATTCAGGTCTTGCTCTTAGTTCATCAATCTTTTTATAAGAGTCGTATTTCTTCTCATTATACTTAGTCTGTCATTGTTGTAAAATATATATATCTATGTCTTATCATGGTTTTCTTATGTCATTTCCTCTTATTTTAAAAATTTAGTTTTGCTTTTTCACACACACAAAAAAAGGAAAAGAAAGTAAACAGGCCTACCTATGTTAGTAAAGCTCTTATAGGCCCTTGGAACTTTGGAACTCTTACTTCTGAATTTCTACCCTACACCAAATCAAATGTATTAATACACATCTACTTTGGGGGTAAAAAAATGTAAATATGCTTTGGAAATAATTTGGCTACAGATAACTAGCTTAATTTGAGGTTGGCTATGATTTCTTGGCAATCACATTGCATAGTGGGAAATTCTTGCGAAGTGAGAAAAATGTAAGCTCCAAATTGTTTTAAGTGTAATGAAATATTTAGGAGTTGTACACACGACAACTAATGAAGTTGGCCCAATGTTACATTTTGTAGATGTTTAAACATTTATTGAATTCAATTTTGCAGTTTTGTTTTTGAAACCAATACTATTTATTTTCAGGTCTCAAGCACTAACTTCTGGCCTTCTAGATGGCAAAAATGGGTAAGAGCCCTGTATATTTCAGTTGCAGCTCCTGCTGCCTCTCTGTGGATCTCCTCAGGGGGAGTTTTGGGAAAGCATACACGCATCCAAGCACACTACTCCCACTGAATGGAATGACATCTCTCACTCCTCCTGCCCTCCTGCACCTGGGATATATACTTCAAGGCTTACCTTTCTTTTTGGTCTTTCTTAAGTTAACTCACCACTTAACTTCCTATAGAGCTGAGCCCCCCCCTTTCCTATCATGGAAGCTGTGAATTTTAATTGAGGGTATTTTTTGCATGTTTGCTTCTCTTCTCAAGATGGAAGTAATTTGATGCTTTTATGACTTTGCTTAAGCATAAGTCCCCAAGCACGTGGACCTTATTCCTAAAACACTGTGTATTAATACAAAGTCACTAAGTAGAATTCAAGCACCTTCTACATGCAAAATATTTTAGAGGATATCAAAGAAGGGCTTAATATTACCCTTATCTTCAAGATACCTCCAATTTTTGTTTGCAACTTTTAGCATTGAAGATAAGAATGTTAAATCTCAATCCTTTAGTCACTAAACTCAGTTATATTCAGTATTGTAAGTGTAAACATTTCTAGTTTATTTTCATATAGTTACTTTCTTTGAAATTCAATATCAAAGTAGTACATCAACTAAGGAATGTGATACAATAATACAGTGTTTCATTGTAGAGTATTAAAACACATCCATGTATGTAGATGCATTTGATCCATACAGCAATGTGGCAAAAATAGAGGTGGCAATATCGTCCCCATTTCACAGTTGAAGAAATGGAGGCTTCAGGAGTCTGAGAGGCAGGATTAGATCTTAGGTTAACATCCACGCCCAGTATGACACTCTCACGACATACTTCACCTCTGTTCCCAGAATTTTAAAGTGTAGTCAGACTACTGACAAATTAGCATTGTGTATAATTCAGCAGTGAATGTAAATGAGTTATAAGATAAATGACATTTAGTGACATTAATTAACTGATTAAATTAAACCTGATATTTTAATCAGACTTTGTTTGTGCAAAGTGCTAGATAAAATGAAACATAGTTTAACCTAGTTACTTTTAAAATTTCCAGTTACCATAACAACTTCTTCAGGTTTCAATTAAAGGTGGTCTTTACTTTATATTATTTTTAGAACTTTAGTTGCTATAACAACCAGATGCCATGTATTTGATCAGTTAAATCATTCCCAACAAGTTAAAATATGGTGTTCTCTTAGAAACAATCAAAATATGATAAATGAAGTGTCAGGAATTAATGCCCAAATAGCAACACAGACTCAATTTTTCAAGATGCTCACATGTGAAACAAAAGACCAATGAATCTTCTTTTATATGTTGTGCTTATGATGTTTCTCATTACAGAAATCAAAAAGAGATTATTTACCATTGGTGGAAAGTGGAGATGCCAGGTCCTGAGCTAATATGAATTGTCAGAGCTACAAAGAGAAATGACATAAATGATAAATTCATCTTTCTTGGGCTTGAGGGCTTTGCTGGAAACAATATTGCCAGAGCTTTGCCCAAGTTGGAAGTGGGGAGAGGCATTCGACTTCACAGTATTGATGGCATCTGAAAATAATCCTACCTTTCTGTATTCCATTTCCTTTCCCACCCTCCTCCCCTTGGAGGAGACTTTTTAAGGGAGCCTGTTTCAGTCTTGACAAACTTATTTTCTCACATCAGTGAGAAAAGCCACCAAGCACTAACAGATTCTGCAATTAGAAATTGGGAGCAAAAGAGTTCAAACATGGGAGAAGGCAGCCAGGGAAGATGAAGTAGAGCACTGGTGGAAAAGTGAAAGTGCAAGACAGGACAGCAAGCAAGAAAGAGACAGGGTGGGAGACACATACTTATGTGCGGCCGTATGGCCCTGGTGAGAAATAAGCAGGCAAAAGTTAAAAATGCTCATGGCTGTCCATGTCCGATCACGTGAAAATTTTCTTGACATACTGGGCCCAAATGCATGGCGCAATAATGTCAGGAAAATTCCCTTGCTCTCAGAATCTAAGTCCTCACCTGTTTGAGGTTATTTGGCCCTTCTGGGCAGGTGTCTTGCTTTATTTGATGGGCAGCCATCCACACTGGAGGTGGTAAGGACAAGAGACACATCTGGTCACCTTGAAGGGAGGCCCAAGTTGCCCATTAAGTGACTAATAGAGATGGCCTCTCCCCCTGTCACTCTCTGCCCATAAAAATGCAAAGGAGACAGTTGCTTTTTTGCCCATAGCCAGCCAGCCACAAGAGCAATAGACTGATGGTAGGTGTGTCAACCACAGATTCCAGGTTTAATTATAGTCCTCTTGCTTAATGAAGTTTCACGAAGAGGAGGAGGAGGTGGGGGATTGGTTTGTGCTTGTGTGACTGGGGGTTATTTAATTAAAAAACAATAAAGCTGCCAGCTGCCGCTGGTTAGCAATCTGGAACCCACCCCTTCCTCCACAGACTTGAGCACAACACTGAGACAAAACCTCTGCGACCTACCCATGTGCTGAGGCCTGTTAACATCCTCAGATCAAACCACTTCCTTTCCTTCCCAAGCTTCTTTGGTTGCTCAAAATATTTTGATCAGGTAGAGGTAAAGATTCCCTTCTGGTCAAATTATGAAAGGAAAACAAAGATCACATCTGTCTTCTTTCCTAGGTATTTATTTTGAGATAAAATACACAACAACAACAACAAAACCCCAAGCAAACAACAAGCATAAACCACAAAATGAAACATGTATTCTCTAGCTCCTCTCTGCCCTGTGTATCCTGACCATGGATGGAAAGCAGGGAGGGCTTTTTATCCGATTCTTTAGGAGATGGGAAGATGGTTTCCTACTGGCATCCAGTCTTCAGTTTTATCCACTTTTAATAATAACCTAAGGAAAATTTTTTTAAACATAGAGTTCCTCAGGCTCCTCCCTAGAGATTTTGAATAAATTAGCCTTTCTTGCTTTTTATGATCAGAAAATTTAAAGAAACTCCCTTCTGTTCACGGGAAGCACCAAAGCAGGGAAAGGAGAGAAGGGCTGACCTAGAAAGGTTCCTAATGGAGATTTAGCCTTTGATATATTTCACAGTTGCCAACCAAGGACCAAAGCCTGTCTGTGATCTCCCTATCTCTTAATACCTCTAGCTCAGCTAGAGAGAAAGCAATGTAACAAAACTGTGTGTCTCTAGTAAAAGCTACATAGGGATTAGCTGTGCTGTCCAAAACATTCCTGCTCCCACCAGAAATTGAAGGCTCCTATGACAACTTCTGATACAACATCATGGGCCTTCAACCAGGAGTCCCTTCCTTATTTATTAATCAAATTTACATGCAGGCTTTAAGGTTTCCCTCTGTAGTAGGTGGCAACCACCACCTTTCGCCTGACTCTATCTAGGGTATAGCTTTGAAAATCTCATTCAGACAAAGTAGGGCTTTGGTCACCCCGCTTGAGGTAACTAGCTCATACCATCAGCACCTCTCTTGGGATTATTCAGCCCTCCCAGTGTAGGTGCATTATAAATTAGATACAGGAGAGGGGAGTGGTGTATCTTGGGATACTCAAGCTTCAGATGTGAATTCTTTGTACCCTATTTAGCATTCTATTCTCAATTTTCTCTATTCTAGTCCGTATAAACTGGCTGGAGAATCAGTATATCTGTTCAGTTGCCAATCATTATTTTTCCTGGGAAATAGTCTTGAAGACTGTGAGTCCTGTGTTTTCCAAATCAAGATTCTCCCATGACTTCTGTGTGCCTTTCTATGTCAACCAAGTGGGCTGACCTGGGATTAAATCAACTTTGAAGTTACATTTTATTTGCATTTCTAATGTACAGTTTGCATGACAGTTACTTTTGCTTCAGTCAGATTGGCTCTGAATTAATCCATGTTTATTCAGGAGAGAGAGGAACTATAAAAGGAGAATACTGAGGGCTCCTGCTTAGAGAAACTGACTCCAAATCCTGGCCTTGCCATTTGCAGGCTCAGAAACTTTTGATCTATTAGTTTTGTTTTGTGAAGAATGGAGATGGTGTTATAGGTTGAATTATATTCTCCTAAAAATATACTATATATTGAAGCCTAATTTTAATCCTCAGAATATGGCCTTATTTGGAAATCAGATAATTAAAGACATAATTAGTTCAGTTTACATGAGGTCATACTCATCTAACTCTAACTCAAGTTCATCATGTTGGAGTAGGGTAGGTCCTTCATCCACAGTGACAGATGCCTCTATGGAAAAGGGAGGTCTGAGAAAAGATACACATATAAGGAGAAAGTCACTTGAAACCTAGGTTACAGGGACACAGTCAAAAGCCTATCAGAGGTGGTAAGACAGAAACATGAAGTGAACAGATCTTTTCTTAGACAGCAGAGGAAGCATGGTCCTGACAAACTTTGATCTTGGACTTGAAGCCTCCAGACTGAAATTTCTGTTCAGAAATACATTTACGCTCAGTTGGTGGTACTTTGCTATGGTAACCCTGGCCAACTAATACAGTGATAACATGGACATCAGAGGGTTAACTGAGGATAAACATGTTTTTTTCAACAGCAAAGTACTTGGTATATAGGAGACACTGCTGGGGAAATATTGTGTGTATGGATGACATAAATGGGCTACCAAAAAGTTGTACACTTGGAGTTACAGACTGAGGGTTCAAACTTCATTTGTTGTGCTAACTTACATGATAATTACAAATCACTACAACCCCTACTTTCTTTGATCCTCATTTCCCATCTGAAAAATGAACACAGTGGTGCAAACTTTGTAAGGAGGTTGTGGTGACTGAGGAAGGGAATATGTGAATGTATATTAACCAGCTATGCAACAGAAGCCATGTTGATAGAGAAAGCACAAAAAATCACACCCCTCATTTTCTGAGCACCCCTATTTTTGTCCTTTTAGCACTGGTCTGAGGCCATGAGCTATCTGAGGAACAGAAGGAGCTCAAGACTCTGACAGCCCTTGTTTGGGGGTGGGGGAGATGGGGCCATTGAAGGACCTCATTC